AGAGCAAGGCCGCTGCCAAGTGGTGGGGGCCCCAAAGCCGGGCCAGCGTGTCCCAGCGGTGGGTGAGGCTGAGGGTCGCAATGGGATGGGCGGGGTCCACGTCTGCAAACATCTCCTTTTGTGAAAGCACAGGGGTGGGTTCTCCCACAACAGGACCTGGTTACATTTTAATTTTTAACAAGACAGGGAAGGGAGACACCGGTATGTGAACTTGGCTGTTTTTTCAGACCCACAGGACCCTATCCATTCATCAGTGACAGCGACGTGCCCACTCGAGGAGCCTACCTCTGCTCCTGCCTGCGGGGCTCCCTGTGACCGACACGTTTCTGTGTCCTTGGCTCATGACACTGGAACTTCAGACTAAACACCGAGAGCCGAGGTTCTCAGCTCGGGCTGGGAGCTCTCAGGAATCCCAGTGTCCAGGCCACACCCCTGACCAGTTAAATCAGCATCCTTGGCAGGGAGGGGGGGCACCTGGGCTCCAGGCTGGGAAAGGGCCCAGGTGATCAGCCAAGGTTAGCAGTAGCCCACCTGGAAGGACACTCCCCCAGAGCAAACAGACAGGCCTCACGTTATATTCCCAGTAGCCGGAGTTCTTCAAGTACTGAGCCAGGCCGTGGGCGTGTGCAACGCCAGGCCTCTTCCCAGGTGCAAGTCCCTGCTCTGACCAGCGGCCCTGGCCGCGTGCTCTCATGCAGTTCCCACCGGCTGCTTCACAACAGCCCCCGTGAGCCGGGCCCAACCGCACGAGGGTTGCAACGTTGCCCTGGCCTCGTTAGTCACACCTTCCGAAAGTGCTGGGGCCTCTTCAAGCCGCAGGCGCCAGCCCAGGCCCCAGACGTCAGAACAGCCTGGGAGCTTCTAATACTGAGCCCAAGACTCAGGGGAAGCTTGGGTATCAGGTGATTCCCATGTGCAGCCAGGAACGGAAGCCACTGCTGTGTAAGGAAAGACTGCACCTGTGGGCCTCCGGGTTCCGGGGTGACCGGCATCGGGAGTGCGTACCTGGGACCGCTGCTCCGAGTGACCGCCGCTGCTAGTCTTTGTCGCCTTCTACCATCTGCTGGGCAGCCCAGAGCTGGGCCGGCTTCTGGGCTCCCCGGGCCTCCGACCGGCTGGCCATAGTGCACCTGTTAAGGCTCTATGGAGTCCATCCGGCCACCACTGCCCACCTCACCTCGCCTCCCACTGGCCAGGGAGAAGGCACTCACCTTGGGCGTGCAGCAGGCAAGACAGCAATGCTACGTGGAGTGCCAGACGCGCCTGCCGACTTCCTGTTTCCGATAGAGGGAGCGTGCACATTAGGGTCCCTCCCGCCAATCAAGCTCCACGAGGAACTGGCCACAGGCACTCGGGCTGCACGTGTACGCATAGGTGTTTATATGAGCGATTGCTGATGCTGTTTTTCTTAAAAGGAAACGGCACACCACGCATCTCCAAGCCTAGAAGGGTGTGGGCCAGAAAGGTATAGTGGTTACCGGGTGACGCAAGTTGTTATTGTTGGGAAGGTGGTGGGAACTCGGGGTGGAGCGGGTCTCCGGGAGCTCAGCTCACTAGCCTGCTCCTCGGGTCGCTTCCTGACTTCGTGAACTTGGCCATCGCGCCCTCGACAAGGAGGCGGGCCATGCTGTACTTATCCGGTAGCTCAGCGGGCATCTAGCGGGATCAAAAGAAACACATTCCATGACACTAGTGTTCTCTGGACAGCAGCGATGCAAAAAGGTAGAAAAAAAAAAAGCAAGCAAGTGGGAAGGGGTGTCTGGGAAAGACATTTCCTTCCTGCAGGGACCTGCGGAGCCTCATAGACGAAGAGTCAGTGAATCGGCAGAGAGCTCCCCCCATTTATGTAGCCGTGAAACCCTTTTTCGCAGGGATATGCTTTGGGAAGGGCTCGTCTGCCTTTCAGCGTGGTCTGACCTCCCTCCGCAGAGCAGAGCATGGCTGTGGCCTGTGAGGAGGGCGGGCGGCGGGCTGCATGACTCAGCACAAGCAGACTGGCTGGCACGGGCGCCAGGCACGGACCACGTGGCTGAGAGCCTAGAGGACAAATGGGGGACGATCCAGTAAATATTCACAACCGGACATCGGGTGACATCTTAATTTATTGTTTACAGACACCACCGAGTGAGACTCTGTTTTCCGGTCTCATTGGGGTTGGACACAAGTACCTGGAGAGGCCTGGTGAGAGGGAAAACCCAGGGGTCTCATCGGCTACTGCAGCCCTTCTGTGTCCCTCCCCAGCCCATCGCCCCCGCAGGAGCCGGTGCCAGATGCTACAGCAAGAACCCGTTTGCAGGAAATAGCGCCCAACTGGACAATTTAGATTTTAAAGACTATCGCCCTCAAGGTCTCCTGGGCACCCAGGGCAGGGCAGTAAGGGACTGGGGGTGAGAGACACACGTGGCGACTGGAAGTTCACGAGCACCTCGTTTCTCGCAAGTGGAAACAAGCGGCGTCGCCCCCATTCTCCCCGTGGGCCAGGACGAGGCCTCCTCGCTGCCCTGCTCAGTGTCAGGCGGCCGGGCGGCTGCACGACTGTGTACCAGCAGCGGATCGCTGTGGTCGCCGCCCCCTGGAGGTGAGCGTCACGCCGTAGGCCACAGTTACAAAGCCCGTTCCTGAGGACACGGTCCTACCCCGTGCTCCTTGCAAAAGGAGTTTGGGATCAAAAAGATTTAGAAAACACGATGGACAATACCCTGGAAATTCACAATGTCCATTATCACATGGGAGGTTCCAGGAGTCCTTTAAAAAGAAATGCTTAACTGTGTTTACCCATTTCCCCAATCAATCTGACCTTGGAATCTCTCACTCTTTTGGGGGGGGGGGGTTTGATACATTTCATAGAACATATTTTTAAAATGCTCTTCTATGGCTTTGCAGAAGCAAAAAAGCCCAGAAAAATTAAGTAGCCCTGAGGATCCCACGCTGGTCAGCAATGCAGAGGCTGGGTGATGAAATCAGACCACCCCTGCACTCCACCCCGACCCGCTCACCACAACCCGGGCCACCTGCAAAGGGGCAGCAACACATCCTCCAGGGCGTCCTCCTTCGGGGAGCCAGGATGAGGCACGCTGATCACAGCGTGGACTCGCACCCGGCCAGACGGGGCGCAGCACCTCACGGCAGAGGCCAGATGTTGGTAGCCTTTGCCTCTCCTGCAACAATCAAATCATCAAACCACCACCCTGCCTACCACACGGCGACAAGGTTTCTACACAGACCCGACAGCCCGTGGTTTCCCATGAAAAAGGGGGCGAGGAAACATAAAGCTTCTAATGGTTTCCAGCAAGAACGACACAGACCAAGAAATCGTAATAGGAATATGTGCCACATATTCCAAGGCCCTACAGCAGGGACAGAGGATGGAAATCAGTGAGGTGACTGGAATGACGTAAACATCTCATCCATCTCATCCATGTGCATGATGCATCTTTTTTTTATTATTCTCGTTTCCAAGCAGTTTCACATGACATTTCAAAACAGAAGACGGCTCAAACCAAACTTTCCAACTGTGGGACCAGGCAGACGGGACCATCTGTCCCCTGCAAGGACGCACACCC